TGCATAGCTTTAATGCCATTTAATGTTATTTTAATATTGAATAAAGACAATATACCCAAACATGTGTTAATTTTGATGTTTGTTTGCTACAGGCACTACTTTAAAGTTTGACTCTAATCTGAACAGCAAACAGTGCAGATTCTCATCAGCTTGCATGGTTGCAATTCTGCTGATCTGAGTCTACATTGGTTGCATGGTTTTAAGCACAATAAAAGAGCTAAAATGACATGCTGTGATCTGGCTTTCAAAGTTTTAGTTAAAAAATCTAGACTTATTCTGTTTTTCACTATTTGATATTCGTGCATTAAATACTGCACATTTCATTGAATTAACAATTGTAGAGCCGACATCTTGAAGCTCTTACAGTATAACAAAGTTTATATTTTGACACTATGGTACAATTTAACAAAATCTATAATTTTGAATTGCACTTTTGATACATTGGTTCACATAAAAAGTGCAAACACTTCTGTTTGTAAAATGACACCCTTGTCAATCAAATACTGTTTATTTTCTATCAGATACATGTATGTCAACATATCAAAGACAATAGCCAAGCTTTTTGTTGAATTGGCATTTTGTAGATGTCATTCAAAGTGTCGTCTAATAGTATCCATGGCCCATCTGAAAAAAGCAAAGACTAGATCTCAATAACACATGGAAAATGGGATACATTTGTGACGGTATGAAACAAAATGATGCACAGTACAGAGTCAGACTCCAAGTCTGGCTAAAAATTTGTTTCAGTATGCAAAAGAGGATGAAAAATATACTGGAAAAGCTTTGCAGGTCTCCAGAATAGCTATGTACATATGACCTGTGGCTATACTTTATACTCAATAAAATAGATAAATACAGAGTCCCTAAAGAAAGCCCAACACGGCAAAATTGAAAATGTTGCAGGCTCGGTTTGATTGAGTCAAGTGCACTTGATTTTCAGTGGGACTAGGGTCTCATTTGCCTCTAACTACTGTCTGAACTTAAACTGGTTTACTAAATTGTAACACTTTCAATTTTCAAATCAAGCTGAAATGTGTAACTTCAGTGTTTTGTTTCACCCTTTTCATTTTAATGTTACTGTTTTAATATACATTTTGAAGTGTGGCACAGGACATATCAAAACAGCTTTTCAAATTTTTAAATATTAAAAGCAATAAAAAATAGTGGCATTGATTTTACCTAAATGTGTTTAACCTTGTTATTTATGCAATAAAATTATAATATAGACTAACTAGAAAAAAATAAAAATTCACGGACAGGTATGCAACATCCGAGTACGAAAATTATGGGTATGTTCGTTCTCGGTGTCAAAATTTTCCACCGGCAGGTAGTATCGTCGGGTTTTCGCATGAAATCAATGCAATATATATTTTTCTATCAAAACTGTCTATGAACAGATCCTTATTTTCACGTAAATTTCCACAGTAAAGCAAGAAAGTCAGAAATCACCCAGGTCCGAAAGATGAGACCGTCATGACATGTACATAATTTGTAGCCTGGTATTTACGCATGAAATACTACATCAACAAAGAGATCAAACGGGTCGAACACACATGCAAACAACTGGATTTTACATACTTTTAAATGATTTTATCCTCCACGAGTGGCACTAAGTCCTATGTGCCTGAATTCTAAGAAAAATTCTACATGTATAAGAAAATCCTAAATCGGAAGTGTTCTCCCGCAACACGTGCGTGGTTCCCCGTTCCGCTCTATGTCAATGTATGCAAAACGGAAGCCGGAGAATACTTCCGGTAGGAATTCCCTTCTAAAAATATCGTCTACATGTAGAATTTTTGTTTCCGATAGCGTGATTCATTGGACCGCAATACAGCACGAGCCAATCAAAACACGTATAACTTAAAAATGACCGTCAGATCTAAATTGTCTGAGAGTTTAACGACAGCGTCTCAAGCTTTCAATTCTCATTTATCCGCCCTTTCCATCGCCCTTTGAAACTCTTTATTCGCTAACGAATTTTTTTTGTTCAGAAACGGAAAAAAATAGTTAGGGTCGTATTTTTATAGGTAGGGTCGGGTTACCCGAAACAGACATTTTTTTTTTTTAGGCCTAAATTAAAATAATAAATCTGCAAATTTTCTGCCGCCAAATAATAATATTAAACGAATGATAACAAAATTTAAATCGCTAAATCACCGATTTCTACAAATCAGTAAGCGCGGCCATGTTTGTGTATTGGCCGTATAAAAACAGGTGCGCGTGATGTCATTTCCCCACATCTTTAGATTTATGATAAATCTAGTTGAATCGTAGGGAAATATTAATATAATAAAGTATTGACCAGACAATTTAATTTTCACAGGAGGTGTAGAGGAGATTTTTTTATGGTTCAAAATACGTAACAATATCAAAAAAAAAAAAAAAAAAAAAATAAAGAAACAAAAAAAAAATCGACGTCTACCGGTCGCACCACTTTTGATCATGCACAATGTTGCCCTGATTGGTTATTCACCCTTGTCAAATATTCTAATGACGAAATAGACATCCATTTTTTTACGCTTCATCAGTGAACTGAATGACCTTAGGGGAAATTAAGTTCCACACCAGACTGGACCTGTCAAATTATACTGTAAATTACAGCATGTTATAAAATAGCAACACATTTTTTTCAGTTACCAATAATCATTTTAAATATTAAGTAGATTTATGATTTTTTGTTTTATTGGATTAAATTTACGGTAGTAGAAATGCGTATCTGTGTGGGAAAGGAATTGGGTAAGTAGATAACGTGGAAAAAAGCTATAGGGAACTGGATAAACCCGAGAATATGCGTAATTACGGGGGAATGGGCAACCTGCTGCTGTTGGTACCAGTTTTGACTGGGTGCCTAAATAACCTAACGGACAGTTTTGTTTTATACGATATTAGTCTGGCTGCCGTTTTTCCAGCGCCAGTCTATGGCGGAAAATCGCGTCCTCGGCAGATCTCTGCATATTGGATTTAGTTGATATTTTACCTGAAAAAAAGATACATGACCGGCGATGTACCCTATTCGGACAGCTTGTCTAGCGAAAATTAAGTACAAAATAAAAGGATATATCGTCAATTTGAAAAAGTACTCCTAGTACCCAAATTAAATTGATGGTTTATCTTTGTAAATTAAGCAGTCATTGCTTAAATCATGTGGCGGAATCAACAGCAAGCTTGAAAATCGGACAAATGATAATTAATGTCGCGGCGTCTTATAGCAATTCAGTTACATAATTATGATGTTTTCATAAATAATATATAATGTACGCAATAAGATTAATAAGTTCTTCATCAAGATATATTTCAGTTGTACCAGCGTGTACACCTATACCGGAAGTGGGTGTAACACGTCACAATCTCGGTCTCGTCTGTCTCGCGAGAATGACAGAACGCCAAAATGGCGGCGCCCATGAACTTATTTCTCAAGTAAAAAATAGTGTCTTAAAACACGAATTTCCCACTTATAGGGTTGATGTCAACAGAAAAACTGTCATGGTACCTCTTTTTAAATGATGAATATTTATATTAGACAGACATCAATCCATCCATTCCTATTCCTTTAAGGTTGTTCATCCCTGTAAGTTTAAGCAAAATCTGCCATCCGGTTTAAACGGAGTTGCGTTCACAAAATTTCTACATAGTATATAGTGAAAAAATCAACAAAGGGCCATAATTTTCTTAAATTTGGTCGCAGCAAAAATCCTTTCCTTTACTACCATCTACAATTAAGGTTGTTCATCCCTGTAAGTTTAAGCAAAATCTGCCATCCGGTTTAAGAGGAGTTGCGTTCACAAAATTTCTACATAGTATCTAGTGAAAAACTCAACAAAGGGCCATAACGCTGAATTGTTCCGTGGTTATACACTTAGTCAATAATATGGGTTTTGCTACATCCCAACATAGTAGGCACAGGCTTACTGTTCAGTTCTCTTTATTCGTGTTGCCAAAAGTGACTACATGATCATTTTAGTGTTTTACTTATTTAACCTTTTGTAACCATGACAACTGTTAGAATTTCACTTGGCGGGGATTCATTTTATTTACACTGTCTCGTTTATAGGAACATGGTGGGGCTAAGAGCGAGGTTTGGTGCACCATTAACCGGTTTAAACTCCCCAGCAGTCATTATTATGCTGCTGACCGTTCCAAGGCGGCGCCCCACTGTGTTCCTCAGATGTATGTCTTATGTTGTTTCATACTGTTTTGGTGACACTTTTGCTTGTGTCCCTTGTTGTTTTCTCGTCTACGGTAAGTATCTTCCCCATTGCCTCTAGTTTTTATTTCTTTGATTACTCCCCACCCCCTCCCCCCGGTCTCCTGTCCCCTTCCCCTTTGTGGGCCTATTTTTATTTTCTTTAAATTCCTAATCAGTTACAAATTAATTATCATTTAATGATTAACCTGTCCGTGCTCTGTCTTTGCCCTGTCCTGTTTTTGTTTGGGGACCCCCTGGGCTCCTTGCCATTGGTTCTTGTTGCTGGGTCATGTGGGGGTTGCGTTCATTGAACGCCGCCTTTCCTTGTTGATCTTGTTTATCATATTCCATACATTGCATTCTAGTACTATTTGCTGAATGTAAAAGACATACTTACGAGTACTACCAGGCACAAAAAACCCTATCGCCCATGTCAATAAAATGTGGTGTGTGTCATTATATATGGGAAACATTCCCTTATGTTAATTCACCAACTTAAGTTTTTGCATATTTACATTATATCTTAACCAATTATGCATGACTTTATGGGCCTAATGTTCAATCATTTATTTATTTTCTTTTAGTTCCTTATCAGTTTTTTATTAATATTTATTCTTAGGTAGTGGTTTGCCTGCCCGTGCTCTGCCTTGTGCCCTTTCCTGTTTTTGTTTTGGTTCCTCCTGGGCTCCTTGCCACTGGCTCTTGTTACTGGGTCGGGTGGGGGCTGCTTTCATTGAACGCCGCCTTTCCTTGATGATCTTGTTTATCATATTCTGAGTATCCTGTACTAGAATACGTTTTTACAAAATTAGAAGATGTTTTAAGTCAACAGTTATGCAGTTGATGTATGTGAAATTTATAACAATTTCTATATAATTTGAAATATTTGTGTACCAGCAAGAGTTACCTCTCTTTATTTTCTGCTTTCGTGAAAATTGGCGCCGCCTATTAATTTTCGTCTATTTCCGTGATAATTACATATATGGAAGTTGCAAAATCGTTTACAAATGATAATCGCGTTAGAATGTAAAAGGAAAGTGTGGTGTTGTAAACCTGAGTGTGTCAAGTTGATGCAGATACATTCTCAACGTCATGATTCTCATTTCTTTATATTTGGTATTGATTGTCCGTAGACATTTTTGAATTAATGATTTGCTGCATCAAAAAGCAATACTTTGCTACAAACATTATATTCTACATGTTAACATGCAAGTCTATTTCTTAACTGTAGACATTATGGCAGCAGAATCTTCAGAAGTCTCGACTGTGGAACAAATAATAGCTGATATTGGCGGATGTGGTCGTTTTCAGTTAAAAATGGGCATAACAGTTCATGCATCGAAATTTCTGATTATCTTTAGTACTATGAGTATGATATTTATTGCGGCTACTCCACAATGGTGGTGTGTTAGTGACGTCACACCTTCTAATATGACGTCATGTATCCTTGGCAGAAATAACACCTTGTACTGTCATGAAAAGAAATGCGATGTAAACGGAACTAAATGCAACAGTTTTGTATTCAGTGGGAGAGAAAGGACCATGGTTACAGAGGTAATGTGAACGCTTGATTATATAAGAATGCATATGCGCAATCATTTTATTCCTCGCGTGCACGGATCTCCACATGGTGGGTTAGAAAGTAACACTTAAGATTTTGCTAGTATGTGAAACGCCTCTGAGATGAAAATATGAACTTAAGTTGTTTAAGCTAAAATTGCGCATAAACTATTGAACTTAATAAACATTTATCTTATTGCCGATAGTCGTGTTATATGCAAATCGTAACTTTTGGGTAATTATTGAAAATACATGCTGTTAAAGTAATTGAACATGTTTGAAGCAGATTTATTATCTATTTTGTTTGTTGATTTCAGTTCGAGCTTTTATGTGGGCTAGACTATATACCTAGCATGGTCATGTCGATGCAGACATTTGGCATGCTTGCCGGTGCTCTTGCTGCCGGGCAACTTTCGGATCTTTTTGGAAGGAAACGACCTTATTTTGCTGGCCTCCTATGTCTAATGATCTTCAATTTGATAGCTTATTTCTCTGTGAACTGGATTATGTTTGCAATAGCTAGACTCTTCATAGGGATAGGCTCTGGAATGTTTCAATCAATACATTATTGCTTTATGTCTGAGTTCACGCTTGCTAGATGGCGTGTATGGGTTACAGGATTTCCAAGTTGGCCTATTTCGTCATGCTGTTTTGCATTGTGTGCATGGCTGATACAGGATTGGCGGTATATTCAACTACTATGCTGCCTCCTTGTTCTACCTTGCCTTCTGACTTGGTTGTAAGTTATCCATTATTGATTTAAAGTAATAAATGTACGTTTATTAGTATCAATACCTTAATTGTATAACTTTAGGATTATATTCAACTTTAGTTAGAATATTTAAATACTTCTGATTTCCAGTTTTCTATTTTCATCCTATAAATGTAACTGTTATTTACGAGTATATTATATTTAAGTTACTTTCAGTATTTTACCAGAAAGTTTTCGATGGTATAAAGCTCAAGATCGTATTGACGATGCATCAAAGATTATAGAAGGTGTTTCTAAGGTCAACAAGCGCCCTGTACCGGACATTTCCAATCTTGTTGCGAACAAGAATGCAACTCGGAAAGAAAAGAAGTACACTTTTATTCATCTGTTTAAGACAAAAGAACTAGCAAAAACAACACTATTACTGTCTATTAACTGGTTTGTATGGTTTTACATTTTTTAGTTACATGAAACGGACTATAAATTTATTAATTAAGTGCCTTTTATTTCATTCATCGTTTCAATGTTAAAATTGTTCTACCTGCAACAAAAGTGATCTCGATCTATATTGTTGCATGTCTGTAATTATATATTTATCGTCAAAATTATCGTTTTGGGTTTTACCAGGAGCCTCTCTTCTGTCTTGCCTTGCATTAATCTAAAAGTATATGAAGATGCAAACTTCGGTTACCTCAAAGTATTGGGCAAGTATTATACACTAAAAACATACATTTTTATGCTTTTTGTTGTTGCTGTAAACGCATAAAAAACATTGGTTTGCTTTGCATTTGAAGTGAACATATATATGTAAAGGTTTTGAAAATTATTCGTTTCAAATGCTAAAAAAAACATTTTAACACTTAAAAGGTAATAGCGTACTAAATATGACAAATATTGACTTGAAATAAAGTGCATACCAACACAGACCAAGGCTTCACCAAAACGCATAAAATACGTAAAAAACGTTTTAATGACTCAATTGTCTTAAAAACAAAACAAAACATTAAATGAACTCCACTGAGGTTTGTTTGTCAAGACGGGACTAGAAATATTTTTTAACTTGAATCTTCCATCTGATATATGTCTAGTGCAAAATTTCTGATCATATACCTAAATAGTTATTCTATTTGTGCAAATGATTCATGCAACGCTTATCGCTCAGCTCGAGATAAATAGCACAAAATACGACAATTTTTCCTTTAATCTGTTACAGCCACAGCTGTGTTTTAACGTGTTTATTTTTATTCTCATAACTTTTGCATACATATGAATGCTGTTAAACAGTTATTAAGTTATAAAGCATCTCATAAGTAAGCAAAGTAAACCTTGAAAATTAAATATTTTAATTGCTGACTTACATTAATGAATTCATATATGAAGTAAAAGATATTAATTATTATAATGATGTCGGGTGTTTTATACTCCATTGTTGTGAAGTGTCGCCTGTGATTTTAAATGTAAAATGACAAATAATGTTAGTGTGTAGCATCTTTCTTACGATTTTAAAGGACTCTGTAGCTTAATCGAGAATTTGTTTTCATACAGGTTTTCCATCAGTCTTATTTACTATGGTGTTAGTTTTGGAATCCAAGCTCTAAAGGGAAATATACCTGAATTTATTCATATTTGGTGTTGCTGGCATACCAGCAAAACTGATCTCGGTTTATATGACTAATAGGTGAGGTCATTGTTTTGTTTGAGGGACATTTGAGTAAAAAGCAGCAATCAATAGAATGTATTGAGATTTTGGAAAAAAAATGTATTTTCCGATACCAATATCACTTTAATAAATATACAAATGTGCACGGAAAGCATAAATAATCAATTCACCACATCACGACCATGGCCCTTCTTGTATTCTTAATATTTCTGTAATTGTAATATAATTTTATGCGATTGTATAAAATTATAATGTTAATTGAAAATCTAAATAAAGATTGTTTTTTATATTGACATAATTATTGCGTTTATTATACCCAATACACATATTGTTTAATCAAGCCGAATATAACAATAAAGAATAAAATTCATGAGTCAAAATATAAATTTTAGATTCGGGAGAAAGATTGCTTCCATGATTTGCTTTACTGGCATCATAACTGGTGGTTTTGTAGCCGGAACAGCACAAGCTTTTGGTAAATAAACATGAGTCATATTTTAGATATTTTCTGTCAACAAAGCATACCGTTTACAAGTTGACAGGTATGTACTTTCTCAATGGATCTTTTGGAGGCTTTATTTACATTTTGTCATGGAACCTGTAACTTATTCTTTGTTTCATTTTTGGTTTCCTTTAATTTCTCTCAAAGGATTTTCTTTTTAGACATTGTCTTATAATTTTGAATAAAATAATTCCGAAGTTTGACAACGATATTAACCAATGTTTGCTTTTAATATGTTAATAAATAGAGTTGTTGTTTAATTAAAAACATGTTTAGTATCTCTTCAATACACTTTAACTGCAGACTTTGGTGTCTTGTATTTATTAAAATAATGAATGATATTCTTTTATAAGATACACCACATCGTGACGTTTTAACTACTGCGTTTGCTGTACTTGCATGTATGACAGACCAAATGGCTTCGGGTCCAATTCAAACTATGACGATAGAAGTTTATCCTACTGTTATAAGGTAATCCAAAATGAAGAATTAAAGAAAAGTTGACCTTAGGACAAAACAGTAATATACATAGTATAACTTTACGATGCATTTAAGTTATCAATTCTGTTCATGGACGGTACTGGAAAGTGCAAATTACCGTCCACGCCCCTAGCACCGGCTTTAGCAGAATTCAACATTTAAACACGAAAAATGGTAAAATTTTGAATTCAGAAACATCCGCAGTTGCGGCGGTTATCATAGAACCTTCAATGTGACACAGTAGTGCCATTCCATGAAAAGCGGCGTATGGCCCCAATTAAAAAAATGCTTGTGCCCTAAACGAGAAAACAATGGGCGGAAATAAATAAAATGGAATTTTGAAAGGGGGTCTGAAGTTATAAGTCATGCATATCACAGATAAGACATCAAAAGACAATTTAAAAAGCAGGCAACATATCTTCAGGGTGATTAGACAGTTTTCGAGTAGGAATACTGGAACCACCCAAGTTGAAAAAGGCCAAATAGAAGAAACTTAAATACCACATAACATGTAAACACAACAATTAAGTCGTGCTGAACGATCTTCAATGATCGAAAAAAATATAACATCTTTGATCTTAAAGTTGATAGTTCTGATAGAATTAAATGACTCTTCAAAGAATAATGTTGACTGCAAGAAATATTTTTTATAGTTATGATAAAATTAAATGACTGTTCAAAGAAAAATGCTCTTTTGAAAATTTCAGAAATATTGGTTTTGGATCATTAAGTGTCATCGACGGATTAGGTGCAGCATTAGGTCCACTGTTTGTTTACTTATTTAAGTAAAAGTCCAATATGTTGTTTTTACACTTACTTTTTTTCTACCATTGCTTGCCTGTTTCGTGGACGGCAGTGACAACTGTATGTCAACGTCCACGGCCGCTAGCACCGACTTCAATTTGGACTATTTCATGCCATTCCATTAACGTGCATGTCAGAATCACATACGTAGCAACACATTTTTCTTCATAAAGTACTTGCATGCACCAGGATTGTTGTTGTATTTTTTTATTATACCGCCCGTTTGAAAAAAGGGACGTATTATGGGAACGCCCCTGGCGGGCGGGCGGTTTCAGGTCGGGCGGAATGGGGCCGGCGCGGGCGGCGTCCCCAACTTTTGTCCCCGGAGTCATATCTCCTAACATGTATGGAGGGAATAAGAAAAACCTTCATAGAAATGTTTAAACCACTAATGAGGGCCAAGCATGTCGGGCCCAATTTAACCCAGGTTTTCTTTGGGTCCAAAGGGGCAAGGTTCCCCACTTAGAGCCCCATTGAAAAATGCCCTTTTCCGGGGCAAAAATTCCCCCAACATTTAAGAGGGATTTTTAAAAATTTTTCTTGGGGGAAAAAAAGGGTTTACCCTTGTGAGGCCCGGGGTGTTTTTCCCCGCGGGAAGAAATTTAGGGGCCTTTTCGGCCAAAAGGTTTACCCCCATAGATTTTTAAAAATTTTAGATTAAAAAAATGAAGATGTGTATATGGACCATTTGTTTTAAACATTTTTTGAGGGTTGTTTAAAACAAAAAGGGCCCTTTTTCAAGACTATGGCTGTGATATTATATAATTTAAGTCAATATATCAAGGTCAAGGTCACTAAGATGATGAAAAATATTTTTCCAGATTTTGTCCGGAGCATATCTCCTACACGCATGGAGGGATTTTAATGAAATTTCATAGAAATGTTCACCGTTATGAGAAGCCATGTCAAGCACATGAACTAGGTCTCTAGGTCAAAGGTCAAAGTCACAGTTAGAGCTCATTGAAAAACGCTTGTCCGGAGCAAAACTTCCACATGCATAGAGGGATTTCAATATAACTTGGCACAAATGTTCACCATTGTGAGGCGGAGTGTCGCGCACAAAATTCAGGTCCCTGCAGCCAAGGTCAAGGTCACACATAGAGGTCAATGTCGTTAGATAAAAATATGAAGATGTGTTCTAGGGAACGATTTAATCATCATTTATTGAGGGATTGTAAAAACACAAATGGTCATTATCTTTTTGACTACGGCTGTGACACATGTACTTTTTAGGTCAATATATGCAAGGTCAAGGTCACTAAAGATGGTGAAATATTCCAGATTTTGTCTGGAGCATATCTCCTACATGTATGGAAGAATTTTTATAATTACTTTATGGAAATGTTTTCACCACCATGATATGTATTGCTCCATGCATGATCCAGGTCTTCTAGGTCAAAGTCGTCAAGGTCACACTTAGAGCTCATTGAAAAACGCTTGTCCGGAGCAAAACGTCACATTCATAGGGGGATTTCAATATAACTTTGGCACAAATGTTCACCATTGTGAGGCGGAGTGTCTTCGCGCAGCAAAATTCAGGTCCTTGCAGCCAAGGTCAAGGTTACACAAAGAGGTCAAAAGTTCAGATAAAAATTTTGAAGATGTGTATAGGGACCATTTTAGTCATTCATTTATTGATGGATTGTAGCACAAATGGTAACTATCATGACTACAGGTGTGACACATTTAATTTAGGTTAATATTTGCAAGGTCAAAGGTCACTTGAGATGATGAAATATCCAGATGTTGTCCGGAGCATATTTTCTACATGCATGGAGGAATTTTAATGTTACTTTATAGATAGAATTGTTCACCACCATGAGACGTAGTGCCCTGCACATGAACCAAGTCTCTAGGTCAAAGGTGAAGGTCACAGTTAGAGCTCATAGAAAAACGCTTGTCTGGAGCAAAACTTCTACATGCATAGAGGGATTTCAATATAATTTTGGCACAAATGTTCATCATTGTGAGGCTGAGTGCCGTGCATAAATTCAGGTCCCTGCGACCAAGGTCAAGGTCACACATCCTGTGCATATCTTCCCTAACTGATTTGTTTTAAGGTTCATTTACCAACACAGTGCCAGGAATAAAAACTTGCTTGCTAGATAACACTTATCCATAATGCCCCCATCTCCATCTAAAGCTTTCGTAAACGGGCGTATTTTGTGACTATGGCACCCTTGTTTACTTTTACTTTCTAATATTAGTAATAGAACATGTCATATAAAGTTACCTTATCTCAACTGTATAAGATGTTTCTTTTTGCTTTCATGAAGAACATGTATGTGCCAGGATTGTTGTACTTCGTTTGTGGTGGAATAGCGATACTGTGTCTTGTCTCACAACAGTTCTTACCTGAAACGAGGGATTCAAATTTGAACGACAAAATACACCCGCTAAATGTGAAAGAAGAGCCCTGTGGGGAGAAAGATTCAAAATTTTAATGAACATCACCTTTGGCGTGTAAGAAGTATAAGTATGCGAAACATATCGATAGCTTATATGGTTATTTGTTTATTTATGACAGCTTGGATTTAAAAATATTTAAAAAAGTTTGTTAAAACAAACAAATAAAAAAAAGCCACATAAATTATAAATTGTCATACTTGTATTAAATTTTAACTGTTGTTAATCTAGCCGCAAAATGATTTTTTGGCAAAAAAGCTAATAAATATTTAACTGACTTGACTTTATTTGAACAGTGAGACTCAAGTTTGATTTAAATGAGCAGTAACCGAAGTGACACATCGACAAACAAGAAAAGAAAATGAATGACGATCATCGGATACAAAGAAAATAAAATTCATTGATAAATATATATGCATTATTAGTTAAAAATGTTTTAAAAGTACATTGAACATACATCTAGGTAATGCAAGCTTTTATATCTATGTAATTTATTAACATTCATGTGCATGAATGTTTAGTTACACTGATTACCGTGTTGAAATTTTATTAATTACCATCTAAAATTAAGCGTGCTAACGCTAGACATAAAAGTCATGCGTGCATGCGTATAAAAACAATAGAAAGAAATGCTACAATAAGAAAATTATACATACTTAATTACTAACATTAATTGAATGGTCTTAGTTTCACATTATTCATATCATGATACTATTGCATAATGAGAAATAATCAAAATGACATTACCATAAATTAAACATCTCATTAAGTAAGTTTGATGTTGAGAGTGTTAAAGCTTTCAGCTTTATATGAACGACAGTACTATTTTTGCAACGAGCTTGATACATATACAAGACCAGACCGCGAGCAACTCTGCCGGGCTCCATTTTTTGTCATTTAAGCAGACAGCAATTTTAGGAGCATGACAATGCTTATGGATTTGTGTAGCTTTATTCGATAGTTTTATGGGTGTTTTTGTCCCTTGAATAAGAGTTTGATTGTGGTCATTAATACGAAAACAACACTTTATCGAATGGTTATTCTTTTCTTTAAATAACTAAACTAAAACAAGGCTAATTTGCTGATCAGCAACTTATAAAAGCTGCTTTGTTCAATAATTCAGAAAATTATTCCTACCACTAATGTGTCATTCCTGAAATAGACACTCATTTGCAATGCACGTCTTGTTTCAAACGTTTCAGTAAATGACTTACTATCAGTTTCAAAAGATTAATATTATGCCAAAGTCGTTTGCTGGAATCGCTGTAGGCCTATTGTTTCTTTTCTCACATTTTTTTAACAGAAACGCGATATTTATTTAAACGACAAAAGCCGTAAATATGGCAGTCATGTAGCGGTGAAATCGGGCATTGTGTGATCTTAACCTATAGCTGTTTGATAGATGTTTCTAAAAATGTATCAAATTCTATGGTTTGTAAAGAAGCAGGATATTTTTAGAATGTTCGAGTTTCAGGTTAGCTTTAGTACAAATGTACAAGAATAAGGATTTCTCACTTACAATCATTATGACTACCTTGTTCTATCATTGCAAACGTTCAACATAACTTTATTGAACTGGATTACCTCTTAATACAACGCATACAATATTTAATGTTAGTCTTAACAATGTCAAAATATAAAACAAGTTTTATTAAAATATATGATATTCAAATCAGCAAACATTGTTAACCTGAATGCATATATTTTCAGTGCATCACGGTGACTTTGTCCTAATTTTATGTCTTTATTTAAATTGTATTATTTTGTATGCTTTTTTAAGTCATAAAATGTGTCACAAAAAAATAATAAAATACACAAGGGTGACTAAATTTAAAATTAAAAATTTATCTCCCTGTGCATTTTGAAATCCCAAATTTTAAATTTTCAAAAACGGGGGTGTTAAAAAATTTGCAAACCATGGTATGTGGGTTTGGGAAAAAAAAAGTTTTTGAATGGGTAAGGGGTCGCGGGTCAAAGTTGTACAAAAACTTAAAGTTATTATTCGGACCTTGATATTATATCATATTTTCATTACTTTAAAGTGTGTTTTATGGTCCCTACCGAATCACCTTTTTTATTTGATCCGCGCATGCAATGGATAAAAGCGCAGTATTAAACGTGTTTATGGTATATCTAATGTGATTTAATTCATATTGATTCACCAAAACATGTATCTCGGACCTTAAAAAGATGGGTGGGGGGGACAAACGTACTTATTTGTTACATATATGTGCCATTTTGACAGGGTTTGGAAAAACAATGAAAAGACAATCAAGTCTTATTGCTACATCTGACATATATCAGATACACTTAACTTCTCTCACATTACCAACCAAATCGACACAATCGTATCAAAACCTCTTTTTTAGGAAACTGGTCATTAGTTAAAAACAACTTTTTTACCTAGACCTACCGCAAAATACATTAATTTCATTTGTCTGTGTAGAACCAGTTTCTGACCAATCAAATTCTTCATTATTTTGATTTGAGAATGTGTTTTAGTCTTTTACCTGGGTTTTTCTCACCCCGATGAATTCTTATAAACATAAAACAAAAATTTTTTGTCAAAAATTTTAATA